AAAAAAAAAATTTGAAAATTTTTTAAATACAGCAAAATATTTTAGTTGATTGGTAATTTTTTGTTGTTTTCGAAAAAAAAAACACTTTTGTTTCGTTTGTTTGTTTGTTTATTTTAAAACGTTTTCGTTTTTGAGTAAAAAGATAAATTTTTATTTTTTTTCTAGCTTTTTTACAGTGGACTAATCAGCGTATTCAAAATTTAAAGAATTGAGATTTTTTTTTCTTTTGGATAGAAAATTGGGACATTGGGACAACAATAAAACTACTGTTACTGCTACTGTTCAATGAAGACAGCAGCAGCAGCATCAGTAGTAGCAGAAGCAGAAGCAGTAGCTACAATAGCAACGGCAACAGCAACAGCTCGATACCGGTCATCAACAAGCAACAGAATTCGGGCAGTGCTGAAGTATCTGCAGTTGTTGTCATAGTTTAAGCAGCTAAAATTTTTGAAGAAAAAAAAAATCATCTTCTCATTATTGTCATCGTCAATCAACGGTATCGCCGTCGTTTTGCCACTTAAGTGCTGCAGCAGTTTAACGAATTATTGTCGGCTAACAGTTTTGTATACACCGCTTAATAAACGACAGTTATTGCTTAAATCTGAATATAATTGAAGAAAAAGAAAAAAAATATTGTTGCCAAGTAATTACTGAGTCTAATTTATTCATAAATTTAAATAAGGAAGAAAGAATAAGAGAGAGAGAGAGAGAAAAAAAAAAGAACAAGGACATTTGTATGCAGTCATCCTGGTTTTCTGCTGATTTTGTCGTCATCACTGCTATTATTGGTACTCTGTTCAGATGTTTATTTATAAATTACTTTTGTGGAATTTCTTTTGTATAGAGACTTTTATTTTTATCTTAACATTTATTTCTATTTACGAAACTTACAATAAGAACAATTCATTCACAGCAGCAGATTTTAGCAGTAGTTATAGAGATTACAGCAAAAATACTGTAGTATATTTAAGAACAATTTTTTTTTTTGCAAGTTTCTTTATTTATGTATAAAAATTTAGGTAATTTCCACTGTCTTTTTAAGCAATGTATTTGTTTAGAATTTTATTATTTTACTGTAAAAAAGAGAAAAGAAAAAAAGTACGTATAATCAGTTTTAAAGTTGATTAACTGTTTTCAGCTTTTTTTTTTTTTTCTACTGCATTTATATTTTTATTGTTTTTCATTGGATCAGAAAACTGAATGAACATTTTCAGCAAACAGTGTTCAATGTTTGAAATGTCCAAAAGTTACTGCATATGCTATACGGCCAGCACAAGACTGTAAACCGGCATCAGATCCAAATAATTTGCCAAAAACAAATTTGGAGAAATGGTTTACATCAGCGATGTTCAACGTAAGTTAGACGATTGAAATGGTAGAAGAAAAAAGTATGCATAAATGTACAAAACGTAATAAGAAATTCTTCTTTTCAGTGTTTATGTTTTTTATTTTTTTTTTTTACATTCTCATTTTACTGGCATACAGTTAGCTGTCAACAGGGCTCTTTTGGGTTAGCAACTTTATAAACTGTGGGTTTGTAGCTACACTTTTACAGGACTTGTTTCAAAAAGCAAATCTTGGTCGAGGACCACATCCGTGTCTGCCATATTCCTATCAAGCATTTGTTATTGCGGCACGATATTTTCCAGAATTTGCTGCCGAAAGTCCAAAAAATGGCTATACAACTGTGCAAAATGTTCGTCGTGACGTGGCTGCATTTTTTGCACATGTGGTACAGGAAACTGGTGAAAATGATCTAAATTTGTACAGGTTGGTCATCAGCAGGTTGATCAAAACTGCTGGAAACTTTAGTTGTTAAACTGACGTCTAATAAACTTCTGTGTTATACTATTATGTTCCTTTTGTTTTTCAAGCATTTTTTTTTTCTGGTAGTGTGTGTTCATTTTAATGTTTTTTCTCTTTTGTTTTACAGCGAAAATAACACTGTTAAGCAGCCATCAGATTGCTTCTATCGTGGCGGTTTGTACAACTGGTTTGAAGGTGGTCGTGAATCAGAATTTTTCACAGCAACACCCAAATTGCAAATACCGCGAATTGGTGACAGCTGCACTGAGGATGGCCAGTATTGTGCTAAGAATCCGGAACTTGATTTCTGGTATCCGTGCAGTCAAAAATCTGAAACCATTGACAACAAAACTGTCTACTATGGATGCTACTTTGGTCGTGGACCACTTCAGGTTTTTCAACAAAAAAAAAAAATCAAAGATCTTTAAAAAAGCACTCATTTTTTTTTTTTAAATACACTTTTTATTATGACAAATTTAGTTGTGATGACAGTAACTGAATAAAACAGAAAAAAGTTGTGTGAAAAGTGTTGGAGATCAAC